AGTATTTAATAGGAAGCCATATTGTGGCCCATATCATTCCCACCTTCAGAAATCTTAATGCCCGAGAAACTATAAGTGTATACTTCTTAGATTTAATCACTGAAATAAAGCAAACCTTCTCCACCTAAAACTGGAACATGTAAAAGTTGTACTGTAGTTCGTGTTTTTAATAAAAATATAAATACTGAAGCTTAGTCCACAACACTATATATATATATAATTAAAAATTGTACAATTTCAAATTTATTTTTTGAATGTAAATTTTGGTGTTACATTATTTTGCTTGATCTTGAGTTGGCACATAGTTCCAAAGAAAAATAAATAAAACATATCTTCATATTTTTTCTTGAATTTGCATAAGTGATTTCTCTTCGTAACATAAAGTTATATATTATTGTAATATTTATTATTCTTCCTCTTCGAAGTAAACAACTTTTGTTGACACTCCTATTTGCAAATTCTACCATTGTCATTTATTTTATCGATTTGCATTATTTAGTGAAAATAATTTTATGCGATCAATTATTTATATTTATATTTTGTTTTTATTTAACATGGTGATTTATCTGAAGACTAAATTAGAAACAATTAGAGAGAAAATCGATTATACCCTCTCTGTGCAAAAATCGTTATGAATACACTTCAAATGCATATACGCGTATATTACAACAATAACAAAATGAACTTATATTAGACATACATTTACAATTGAGATGGTATTACTTATTAGTCTTTATTGAAATTCCTTCACTACATGGACTGTAAATATTTTTTTCAAGTTTTTCTTTAACTAATAGAAAATTAATTTTATGAATAAATAATTAGATGAGTCTACTTCAAAAATAATTACCCAAAAAAAAAGATTATGAAAGTATGATTAAATGCAAGTAGTAATTGAACTGAGCCTTCAATTATTGACTCAATGTAAGAATTTCACTCAATCCTATAAGACTTTCTTGAATGGTAGTCACGTGAAGATTTTTAATTTGTTTACGCAATATTTTTTTATGTCCCTATTTACATGAAATTTCAATTAGTCCTATAGGACCTTCTTCTTCCCCTATATACGCTCTTAGGTAGCCACTTAAATGGTAGTTTTATGAAATCCTCTCTAAGTGAAAGGTGTTCTTTTTGTACCCTTGAATCAAACAAAACACCATCCTGTCGGTTACTATATATATTCATGTTCATGCTAGCTAACTAATTTATATTTGCTAATTGGTTTGTATATACCAAATTATTTTACAAACTTAATTCCAAAGGGTATTTTGTCCATAAAAAATAGAAGAACCCCCTCTCGATATTCTCACTTTTATAAAACTAAAAAAAATTATAGGGAAGTTGATGCCAATAAAATAACCTAAAGAGATTAAACAAGTACTGTAGATAGTAGCAACATAGAAATTAAAAGTCAAATTCAACTTGCATAATGCAATTTATTATATCCAAGTCTTTTATTTTAAAATAGACTATGGAATTCAAAATTCATGTGCCCAGCAACATCAGAAACCAGTAATATCAATGGTAGCAAAATAGAAATTAAAAGTCGAATCCAACTTACAGTATGAAATTTATTATCATCCCAACGTTCTATTTATAATCTTCAACTAAATTTAATCCATTCGACCAAATGCAGTATATAATTTAGAAAAGTCTAGTAGAAAGTGATAGTGCATATCGATGATGTAAAATAACTTTTTGAATGAGATACATTTGTCCAAACTTACATTAGATGATTATAGAAGATGAAATTATATGTTCTACTTTAACATGCATGAAGATATTTATCAATTAGCGAGCGGAGATCTAAATACAATAGTTTAATAATTATTATTATATCAACTGAATATAAACGAATGGAGCAAGAGGAAATAATGTTGCATCATTCTCCTTTTTATATATTTATTTGCTGACTGTCCAAATTCTTATTAATTCCTAAACAAAGTCGGTTACTTTTATTCATGTCTGTATAATAATAATTTGTATTTATAGTATCATTTAAAATATAATAATACCCTTAATACATCTCTTTTTATTGGATAAAAATAATCGAAAAATGATGCTATAAATTTAATCAATTAAAAAGTCGATGTAATATATTTAAAATTTAAATATTATATTTCCTCGATAAAAAAGTCGATGTTTATTTTTACCCTTGATGTGTCCTTAAGCTATTGGTTGTTTTGGAGGGTATTTTTAGGACAACCAAAAAATGAAAGAAATCACCCTACTATTCCCACTTTTATAAGTAGTATAGATATATAAAAAGTAACTAATTGAGAATCAGAACATACTCATCCTCCATGTTCAGCTTGCTTCTCACACTAACACCTCTTGAAAGCTCGTACTCTACCTACAATTGCATGATAAACATGAAGATATGAAAGCAATAAAAGGTAGTCAAATGAACTGCTTTGTGTTGGATCGGTTTAATAATATAGAGTGAAAACACGCAGCGGAATAACTTAAAATAGAGAGGAGGAGTAGTGGAGAGGAGATAAAAATATATTACTCACTCAATCAACACGAATATATAAACTCACTCAAGAACTCTCTAACGATGGATTTGGGATAGGTCTTCCAAAGAATCCGCAGTTCCTTATTTTTCTCTCTAACGATGGATTTTAGAAGAGACCGAATGGTTGCGTTTCTTTGGGGACCACGACCCTTTATATAACTGTAGAGTCCAGTTATATTATAATTGTGATTCAACCCCATCAATAAATCACAACTAAGCCCTAATTGTCTCTACACATTAGGCCCATAATTATAGTTTAATACCCATAAGTCCAACCCAATAATCTTTATTAGATCACAATTAATTTGGACTTTCTTTTAGATAGCCATACACATTTATGTCACATATGTGAGCCCACATAATTATTGAAATAATTCCAACAATCTCCCACTTGGGCCACATATGCTATATACCTTATAAATGTGTACACCTTATGAGCTCAAATATTGCTATCATATAAAAAGGCATTCCTTACAATCTCGTCCATTTACCATATAATAAAGGACTAAAGAGGCTTTCGTCACATTGATCGTGTCTAAACCCAACAGTAATCACGTATACCAATATAGCCAAACGACATAGATCAAATTATGGTGTGTAGCATGGAAATTACATATAATGTGATCTTAACATGCCTATTTCCAACTGGTCCTACTTTAAACTATATTGAGACCAAACCTTAACATAATTGTACAAAGCGCAACCAAATACTTTGTTTCTGCAGAAAACTAAATACACAACTTTGTGTCCAAACATATCATAGAGCTACCAAAATGTATTCATATATACACATACATAGAAACTCCCACTGAACCATAATATCCTTAAATGATATAACACCTACATGAGCAATGCTCATGAAATACCTTGTGTGTCAATCCTTTAGTAAGCGGATCCGCATTTGTGGAGTTTATCTTAAAATGCTCTATGTATTGTTCACTCTGTACCCTTCACAACTAAGAACTTTACAAGCTCTTGTTGTTGTTCAAAATTATAGCTGTTAATTATTGTCATCATATAACTTTAATACAAAACAAAATGTGCAGCCTAGTGACAAAAGTTTATAGCTATATTCTAAAATAAGATGCAAAAAATTACCATAAATTCTCAACCATCGTGAAAAGAGCTTAACGTGTTTGTTGAACACCCATGTCAAAATAGCTCAATCACTTAGGTTTACATTAACCAAAATGGATCTATACTTTATACGCATCATAAAAATCAAAATCATGAATAAACCACCGATCTCCCAAAATATCTGATTTTGATAAATGAGCATATGTATATAACTTACATTCCCTATAATTACTGTATAACCCATTTGGCTGCTTTGCTAAATGATCCACTTCATAGGGTTATTCAGATATCTGCCTATCTTTATGCACACCTTAACCAAATGCGTACATTCTTTTATTTAAAATATTTATTGGGCATTGAATTGAGACTAAACAAGTCTCCTTTGTTGTGAGATTATCTCCCACTGATCCTTGAGCATGTATAATCATTAACTTTATTTATCTCAAACTACATATGAGATAATTAGCTTAGGATTGTAACATCATTAACGGAAATTTTAATTTCATTAATGGACTACTTTAGTTTGCAATCAATATCCTTCAAATCTTTAAAATTTTATGGTTACACTTTATTGTTCCAAAATTATTACTATTTGAGAAACATATTCCTTGTGTCCATAAATCTCTTAATAGAGTCGATATGAGTGAAATATTTAATGACTAAACGTACCATATATCTTCCAATATTGCCCATTTGAATTATATTTGGTCTCAATTATTTGTAACCAAATTCACATCTTATGGCAATTTGATAAGATCTTAATGTCTTGTCATTCTAAATTTCAACTCATCTTTAATGCTTTATTATTTTAAGGTTGTTGAGTTTGCTCTTTAAGTAACAATTATCAAGACTTGATTTGGGAATTGTTCAACATTGTCTTATCAAATCTCCAAATCTACTTTTCAAACAATGACAAGTATAAAGACATGTACATTGTCAAAAGCAGTATTAGGAATCGAATTGACTTATCTTTAAAGACAATGTCTATAATCTAAATTTATCCCCTCAAACTCAACATCCTTAAAATATTTTAAATTTCCCCTTTTAAAACATAACATATTGCAGCACTTAATGTTTCTCCTAAATATACCTTAGTGAAGAACAATGGCTTATCATATTTTTCTCTCTAACGATGGATTTTAGAAGAGACGGAATAGTTGCGTTTCTTTGGGGACCACGACCCTTTATATAACTGTAGAGTCCAGTTATATTATAATTGTGATTCAGCCCCATCAATAAATCACAACTAAGCCCTAATTGTCTCTACACATTAGGCCCATAATTATAGTTTAATACCCATAAGTCCAACCCAATAATCTTTATTAGATCATAATTAATTTGGACTTTCTTTTAGATAGCCATACACATTTACGTCACATATGTGAGCCCACATAATTGTTGAAATAATTCCAACATTGACGCCCAGCTGGCGCAGTCGCAGCAGGTTGTCACGGCCCGCGAGTTTTGACCCAACCCCTTGCCGATTTCCCTTGAGTTGGGGATGTTAAAGAATCCAAGAATTAGCCCAAGTAGGGTTAGGCCCAAGTTGGCCCAATTGTATAGTGGTAGGTAGAGCCATTTTTGGTAGGTAGAGGTAGGTGGTGGTAGGTAGAGACATTTAAGGGATTGTTTCACTCCCAACCGTTAGATCATATCGATCTCCACCGTCCATTGATGAGGTGGTCTTGTATAAATAGAGGTAGGGACCTCATTTGTAATCATCCAACACATATTCAAGAAATCCAACAATAAAGTATTCTTCTACCAACTCTCTTGTCTTCTTACTTTCTTTCTTCGTTTTCCATCACTTAAGTATTCGCAACACAATTCGGGAGAGGCTGACTTAGCTATCGCGAGCGGCGAGAAGGAGCTAAGGCCGCACGGTTCTTTGTTGAGGGAACAAGTCCGTGACAAGGTGGTGGCTAAGTACTCCGTTCTCGGACAAGGTCAACACCCCCTCGACGATAAAGACCTCGACCATTTCATGGTACTACACCAAACCTAATATTTTTTTAATCTCGAATTAATATTTGTTACTCTGTAGTTCAAGAAATATTGGAATTTAATTTCCATATATCAAGATGAAATCAATTAATGATGGTAATTAATTAGTGCTCGAATTCTGGTGTTGAATGATGTTTTGTTTAATTTCAAGGGTTTATTAGGGATAACCCCTTGTTCATATTTTCTAATGAGGTGGATCCAATTTTTTTTCCCCTTTTTGAGATAGATCCAATTTTGCCAACTTGGCAAATATATTATATAATTTTCCTTTAATACCCCTATTTTATTTTTTAAAAGGCATTTATTTCCTTTACTACGTGATTTGAGATTTGCTGATACGTTGCCTAAAATCACGGAATAAAATTACGTGAGATCATTGGCCGTTATATCAAATCGTGTACAATATTTTTCGAAGGTTCTCTTCAGCGTTCCAGCGGTTCTTTATCATCTTTGAAGATTTATGCACCGTCGTTGAAATAGGATCGAATTTGAGCTTTCGTTGTTGGACGTTGTTAACCGGGTATGAATGCGTTATTCGTTTTTATTTTTCGCTCAATGTCTAGGATTGTCGATTACGGTGGTTAGAAATTTTAAGGGTTGTGTTGATACTTGATTCTATGAAGTAGAACGTTTTTTAACAAAATTACGTCGTCATATATACATCGTTATTTTTGGCGGATGATGTTTGTTTGGAAGAGGATTGACAGAGTTAGAAGAGGATGCTTCACGCAGATCGGACCAGAGTTGTTTTATATGAGCTTCGTAGTTGGTTTATGCAATAATCGGAATAATTGTCCGCTGTGGTCGAGTTCATGTTTATGATCCCGATCGATAGTTGGTTTATTTGTTTATAATAGCCGATTTAAGTGTGCTGGGTAGTACATTAAAATATAGTTCGTAGTCTTTTTTAAATTAGCGTATGGATTTTGCATTTTAAGTTTATTTTTGATGATATTAATGTATTGTCATTCAAATGTATTTGCAGTCTATTTAATCATTTTTTAGTATTCTGCATTTTTTATTTTGTTTCATGATTTTAGGTTTTTTCGATGGCGAATTTCGTAAGTATTTTGTTGAGGTTTGGTGGGTTGGTTGCTATAAAGAGGTGTTTACGATGTAATGGCTCGGTAACTTCGATTAAGTTTTAAACCGTTGTAATACAGTAGTATACTATTATGAATATCGTATGATACTACCATTATCATTTTATTATACTATTATGAGATTATTAATGTACTAGAGTTTTTTAACTCGACATATTGATTTTATTGTGTTATGATGTGTTTTATGTATTTTATCAAAACCCTAGATTGAAATTATGAGATTATTAATGTACTATTTTATTGGTTATGTTGGAATACTTTACGTTGGTGTTGTTCTCAATGTTCTTGTCATTTCAGTGGTATATTGTTTGTAACACAATTCATATCACTACTATAATCGTAATATACTATCATAGCAGATCAATGTACTATATTGAAATTATTAATATACTATGTGGTTGAATAATACGGGATCCATAGTCGATTAACGAGATCCATAGTTGAATTAGATGAATAAGATAGTCTAATACATGATATAAGGAAAATTAGCCTAATTGATTAGTATTTCAAACAAACATATTATTCAGTTTCCATATATATTATTATTTTTTCATATATATCATTATTTACCCTAATCGTTTTCATATAATAAGGAAAATTACCCTGATTGATTAGTATTTCAAACAAACATATTATTCAGTTTCCATATATATTATTATTTTTTCCAATAGTCATTTAACTAAACCCATAGTCGAATTAGATACATGGGATAGTCTATTAAAAGATATGAGATAGTCTATTAATTTTAAAACACAAATCCGCCGCCGTCACTTCTCAAATCTAGGGTTTTGATGATTCTTCGGCCCATAGTCGATTAACGAGATCCATAGTAAAATTATATTAGTGGGATAGTCTACTAAATGATATGGGATAGTATATTAATACAGATGTAATTCGACTATGCATCTCGTTAATCAACTATGGGCCGAAGAATTATCAAAACCCTAGATTTGAGTAATCCTATATTCGAGTAACCCTAGATTGGAGCAGTGACGGCGACGGCGACGGCGGCGGCCAACGACGATATCACTTCTGGTGGATGTCCTGCCCATCAATTGTTGCAATATCACTGATTTAGTGCTCGAATGCGGTATGCGATTATAACAGATCTGCAAATACACAAACGTGATAGTCGATTTAGCCAAAACATATCAACAAATCGATGGATGATAGCGATTCAGCGAGTGGCGACGACGTACCTACGGCAGCTTGCTCGGAGTGCACGAAAATCGTCGTTTCACGGCAGTGCAGACGTCTTCCCCTTTCAATCGGCCGCACCGGGAAGTTGTTTTGGGAGTTTTTGCAGTTTATTCGATAGTGGGGTTTGGGATGATAGTGATTTAACGGAAAATAGGAAGGGATTTGATTTTATTTCAAAAGGTAAAGTAACGGGTTTTGTGGGATTTGATTGAGGGTAATTATGTAATTAGAAAAAGTTTGATGATGTGTATAATTGGATTTAGGCCCAAGATGCTCAAATTGGCCCATCTAGAGGAAAAATCCAATTAACATTCTTAATTACATTCAACTTGTCCCACATTGGTTTTTAACAAGAAAACCACATCAAACTACACCTATAAATATGTGTTATCATACACATAACAAGGTAAGCACTATTTAGGCAATTAATTAATATTATTTGCTTATATTGTGATAGTTTTCTGACTTGAGCGTCGGAGGACAATCGCCGGGCCACCCCCGGCGTGTCACCTAGTGTTTTCAACTGTTTTGTAGGTTAACGAGTGGAGCGATCCCTTCGACTACCTGAGCAGCATCATTTGGGTTGTTATCAAAATGGCAAATATAAATTTGGGTCTACCCCTATTATTTGAATGTTTAAGGGGGTTATATCTAATAGACCCTAATTTCAATTAACTTGCTTGCAACTTGTCCGATTAATATAGCGGTTCTCGTAAAAAATCTGAATTTTGCTGATTTATGCGCTTAAGTGAGGTCACTGTTTGGATTTAGAGTGGGAATACAAATATCAACGACTAATCGGAATTCATCGAATGAGGATAGGAGAGAATAAGTTAGGACAGAGGATAATAACATAATCGAAATCAAACCAAGACAAATAGTTGGCAAATCGAATCTGTTACGGGACGGTATATCTGTTTATCCCATCAAATTTAGGAATTGTGTTGTTTATCGGTACACTAATAATTCGAACTCCCAATTTTTTTTTTTTTTGTAGTGCTTTCAAGAAACTCTTTCTTGATGTAGTAGCCCCACTTACGGCTCGTTTTTTGGTTGTTTTTAGAAGTTCTTGTCTGAAATGTTAGTCGTTTAAACTTTACGCAGACGCATTATGTTTTATTACTGTCCTCGTTCAAAGAACAACTGCAACAACACGTCCGAGTTCATGCAATGGAAGCAGTCATGGCTTGTTGGGAGCTCGAGCAATCGTTACAAAGCTTAACAGGTTAAATATTATTATTTATTATTCGAGCAAGAATTTGTCGACCCATTTGTCTAAATATTTTTTCGGACAATTCTTGACAGGTGTAGCACCGGGTGAAGGTACAGGCGCAACGATGTCCGATGATGACGAGGACCAAGCAGACAGTGAAACGAACCTGTTCGATGAAAGTCTCGACGGAGGAGACAACATGGGATTTGGTCCCTTAGTACCCACTGAAACCGAGAGGTCTTTGATGGAACGAGTCAGGCTAGAACTCAAACACGAGCTTAAACAGGTCAGTGCATAAAAAAAAAAAAAAACCCGGATAAATTTCGATTAAAGATGCTATTTTTACAGCTTCGTATCTAATCAAGAATTGGGTTCTTTAATTAGGGTTATAAGGAGAAGATTGTGGATATCAGAGAAGAGATATTACGAAAAAGACGAGCGGGGAAACTACCTGGAGATACTACTTCTGTCTTGAAATCTTGGTGGCAATCGCATTCGAAGTGGCCTTATCCAACCGTAAGCGTTTTCGCTCGGTTATACTTTGGTCAATATGAAAAAAAAGGTTGTCTTTAATTTCTAAAATTATATTTTTAATTATATATAATAGGAGGAAGATAAGGCGAGGCTCGTGCAAGAAACAGGGTTGCAACTGAAACAGATAAACAATTGGTTCATTAATCAAAGGAAAAGGAATTGGCATAGCAATCCTTCTTCGTCTACTCCGAAAAGCAAGCGCAAAAGGTTGGTCTTTTTTTTTTTTCTTTTTTTTTTAATCTTTAATTGTTTATAATAAAATCGAAAACTCGTGCACGAATGGCTATTTGATTTTGGGGGGTGAAATAGTGGTGCAGGTGACAAAACGGGAAATGAACGTTTTGCATGAAGAAAAAGGGTGTCGGATTCGATCGAATATACGGGTGAAGAATGGGACAACGAGATAGAAGATTATCAGTGTTAGCTGCTTTTAAGGTAGTCCTTAAAATTGGCTGGGGGCTTTGTTGAGTAAGAATATTTAGTTAGAAGCCAATTTAAAGGGACTTAATATATGATTTGGACAACTTGAAAACATATCAAAAGCTACTGTAATATTTTTAATTCTGGTGTTAATTAAATGTCAACATGAGTATATGAGCAAGATCCAATTAGTAGGGTTTTTTTTTTAATAATTTTATTTTATTTGTAGTTTGTATGGGTTGAGGCAACAGTTTTTTTTGTCTGTTTTGTGTAAAATTTGTCTTACTATGAGTTTTATTAATTAGGTAAAATATTACTAATGTCACAATTAATCTTATATATAAAAAAAAGAAATCCTAATTAATATTTGTAATTTTTTTTCAATTTTTATCAAATTTTTATCTCCTTAATATTATTTTTGAATTTTATCATATTTGTATCCCCTAAATATTATTTTAAATATTATTATTTATTTTTATCAGATTTTTGTCTCCTAAATATTATTTTTTATTTTTATCAAATTTTTATCTCCTAAATATTATTATAAATAATATTTTTTTAATTTTATCAAATTTATATCTCCTAAGTCCTAACTATAATTTTAAATACAATTTTCAACTTTTAGCAGATTTTTATCTCCTAAATATTATTTTCGAATTTTATCAAATTTATATCTCCTAAATAATATTTTAAATATTTTTTTCGAGTTTTATCATGTTTTTATTAGTTTTTTATCTCCTAAATATTATTTTCGTTTTAAATATTTTTTTTCGAGTTTTATCATGTTTTTATTAGTTTTTTATCTCCTAAATATTATTTTCGTTTTAAATATTTTTTTTCGAGTTTTATCATGTTTTTATTAGTTTTTTATCTCCTAAATATTATTTTCGTTTTTTATCAGATTATTGTCTCCTAAATATTATTTTCGATTTTTATCAAATTTTTATCTCCTAAATATTATTTTAAATAATAATTTTGATTTTAATCATATTTTATCTCCTAAATATTATTCTAATTATTATTTTCATATTTTATCAACTTTTATCTCATTAACATTATTAGAAATATTATTTTCGATTTTTTATCAAATTTTTATCTCCTAACTATTATTTTAAATTTTATTTTTGATTTTTATCTCCTAAATATTATTTTTTGATTTTTTTATCAAATTTTTATCTCCGAAATATTATTTTAAATATTATTATCGATTTTCATCAAATTCTCCTAGATATTATTTCTAATAATCTGATTTTCAATTTTTACAGAAAAGGGTAAATAAATCTGATTTTCATCCCTAGCGGATTTTGTGACATCGTTTTACAGAATGTCTGCAACATTTGAATTTTATTCTTCCCTACCTAAGGCTTCTTCTTTTGGTAACCCGACTTTAGATTTTGTTTCTTATCTTCTTCTTCATCCTATTGCATGTGTGGCAATTAGTTTACATCTTTTTCCATCATGGCTTATAGGTAATTCCATTTTGTTAAATTATGTGTTTCATTAATTTATACCAAAGTTTTCAAATTTTATGTATAACAATTATTTCATTTTATATGTTATTGGACATGTTATTGAAAGGGATGATTTGAGAAAATTAACCAAAAATGGGCGGAGCCACAAGCTATTGGAAGTCGACCTTCAAGACTTATTGTTTGTATGCGATATTTAATTTATTGTTTATATTTATTTTTGTTTCTTAATTTTCCAATTGTTAATTCCAGTGGCAAAACAACCTTAAAATGAGGCAGTGGAGAAGGGCTTAGTTCCGATGCAAGATGTATAGATGGCCTTTTACGATGGTATGTTGTCGATAGTTTAGTTTTGATTATGTTAACTTAGTTATTAAATCTAATTACTTTTAAACTCAACATGGAAGACACATAATTGATAATTTTTTTCCTGGTTCAAATTTTCAATCTACTGGTATTAGCTGATTCAATTCATTTGGAAAATTATTCAACAGTAAAGTTATGTCCTTTTTTTTGTGTGTAGTATACTTAATAATGTTCCAGTATAATAGAATTTTGATCATACGATATATCAAACGTTTGTTTATATTCTTACAACATCAAAAGAATGCAATTTGTTGTCCCGTGCATCGCACAGATACAATTACTAGTGCAATTAATACGTAACTCTCCATCTTCTTACAATTATTTTAGTATCATTCCTATGTTCAAAATTGTTAAAATACTTGAAAATGGTGTTATGGTTAATTTAATCTGTGTATTTATTTTTTCGTAGAGGTCCCCCATTTATAATGATTTGTCGTGTGTTTTTTATAGTGATCTAAGCCCAATAAAAAAGAAGAAACACAAACAACAAGATTGATTTAAAAAAAAAATACATTCACGTGTTAGAATTAATTAATTTATGTGTTTTTCATCTCAGTGAAGAACGCGAGGAATAAGAAGAAACACCACAAATAAGATTTGGCAACGGCAAATGCACGAAAAAGATCATTTATTTACCGGTTTTCCATCTCGATAGCACCGAGCGAAAAATAGAGAAACACCAAACAACAAACAGTATGACTCTCATGCCTAAATAAAATAGTTTTGCTTAATAGTTTGAATATAATCCAAAAAATAAAATTAAATAAAGATAAGTAAATTACATAATTACCAAATTGGCCAAGCATGCCACGTGTCACATATATACATATGCTAAAAGAAAATGTCAACAATGGTTGCAATGAATAAATCATTTCTGTTGATTTATATGTCTATAGAAATCAATTAACCTAAGTTGTAACAGTTAAGTTGTGGAAACAGTATTCAGTTACAACTATAATTCTTGTGTTAACACAGTTATAAACTACTTAAAGCAAATAAATGAACACAAGGAATTAATGTGGTTCAGACACAAATGTGCCCTACATCCACGTGGACCTGCAAACACGATTTCACTAGTTCAGATTTACAGTGTACATTAATAGGACTTATTAAAAACACTAAAGACTCCCTCTTTATGTAATATGCCGTTCTTGTACACAACTCGAACTTCGTGTTTCTTCCAACAGCAGCTCCACCCGCGTGCCTTGAACTTTTTTAAACGCGGCTGATCTCCCTTCAGAAAACGCGGCTGATCTCCCTTGAGATCTATACAGCAAATCTGTATATGTTGGCACAGTGCAACGATGGCACAGTCCTGCTCCGCAGAACGCCTTGGCAAAACTTCGATGCTATGAAGAGGTTTTTCTCCCAAATAATGCCCACGGTTCTTGTATGTCTTGGAGTCTTATATAGCCACAAAAATAAGCCCTAAGACCTAACTTGAACCCCAAGAAATCTATTTAACTAGGTAATAGAATCCTAGTTGATTTCTACTTCTATTCTAGATAAGTACAAAAGATACCTAACTAGAATAAAATACATGGAAATAAATCTAAGTCCTAATAGAAGTATTATAAGAATAGGACTCTAATAAATTCCAAAATAAATATGGAAAACAAATCTTTGCCAATCTTTTAATTCCAAAACTTGGCGGATTTCCTCGATCTTCAATAGTCGGAAATATGGCGCCAACAATTTCCTCAAACAATATCATATGATTAATTTTCTTCACTAATTAATAAAATTAAATAAATAATTAATTAATAAGAAAAACCGGGCTTCCTTTGATGATCATTGATAAGGCCGGCCAGTACGAGCAGGGTTCGCCGGAACGGCGCCGGAACGGCCGGAACGGCCGTCCCGGAACGGGAACGGTGCCCGCCGTTCCGGAATCCCTAACAAAACCGTTCTGCCCTCCCCGACGCAGCGGACCACCGTTACGGCCGAGACTTAGCCGGGAAACGGCACCGAAACGGTTCCGGAACGGCGGGAACGGCTCCGGAACGGAAAAATAATAATAAAAAAAATAATAATTGGGAAGAACGAGACCCTTGACGGAAGAAAAACTGAAAAAAAAAAGAAGAAAAAAGAAAATTGGGAACCGATAATTGGTAAAAGAAGAGTGTAAATTATTTTTTTAAATTAAAAAAAGAATTTAATTAATAAAAGAGACCCCACTAATCCCTATAATCCTTCTTTTTTCCTATTAATAGGAGAAAGTAACAATAACTGACACATGACTATAATTTACGTATTTAAGGAAAGGAAAATAGCAATCATACATATATTGTTTTTTACCGAAAATTACAACTATGATTCTTAAAAAATGGAAAATAAATATCAAAATAGAAATAATAAATAAATATAGAAACTTCTAATATATATAATATTAAAATTTTATTTAACTTTTTTTGTTTTCAATATTCTGTTACTTAAATATAATTATTTTAATTTGAAATTAATTCATCACATAATATGTTTTACTACAGATAAATATAAATATGTGTTTTTATTTTTGTTTTTAATTTGACAGCTTTGAACCAGCTCGGCATTCTACGTGGTATTGATATTGCATGTATTTTATAATGTTAATGCAAGGTTGTAGTAATATTTTTTTTTTATAATTTTTAATAATTTTAGCATATTATTGTATTGTAATGTTGGTATTAAAAATATATTTGAAATAAATATTTTTTAGAATTTTAATTAAAAAAAATCTGTTCCGGCCGCGACGGAGCCGCGACGGAACCGCGACGTGGCAATGGAACTGGAACGGCAGTGTCCGCGACAGCCGACTGTTCTGTGTCCGCGACAGCCGACTGTTCTGCACGAGCAAACCTCGACGAAAAGCTGTGCAACAAATTGCCCTCCTCTTCTTCTCCGCCGCCGTGATCTTCACTATTATCACCGCCGGAAAAGTTGAGGGCGTAGCTCTCCGGCGAGTACTTAAACTGCGCGTTCTGCTGCGTGCTGTTCACGTGTTTCTTGGGACTGCAGAACTTGCCGATTCTCCTGACGAAATTCTTCCACTTGGGCCCCGCCACCATCTCCGACAGCTCCTTCAGTTTCTTCAATTTCTCCACCAGCCACGGCGACCCGCCGCCGGTGCCCCTTTCTCGCAGCAGAGAGCTGCGGCTCCCGCCGAAACAGAACCGCCGGAAACAGTCGCATCCGCCGCCTGCATATTCTTCGGCGCCTTCGTTTTCCCGCTCGGTGATGGGCGAGTAAGGTGCGGTGCTGGTGAAGACTGGTGGTGGGTTTTCTTGAGGCCTGGCCATTGTTCGTTAAGAGAGAGAAACTAGAGAGAGAGAAAATGGTACTCTGTATTTGAAATTGGGAACGTAATTAAGATTTTATAAATGTGTGTATAACCGTGTCTCTTGTGCGTGTTGTGTGTGTGTGCAGAAAAATCAAAGGTGGCGAGTGTTAAGGAAACATCACGACAACATAAGCAACTATATATGACTTCTTCCATTCGAGGATATATATATATATATATATATATATATATATATATATATATATATATATATATATATATATACTAGTGTAGAGCACCGCGCAATGCGCGGTGCCGGGTGCCTCGAGGGAATACAAGAACTTATCGTATTATGTATTTTCGACATACTTTCATATATCGATTTTTAGGCTGCATTTTTTTATCTTTCTTTTACGATTAGGTTAAATTTGTGTCAAATGTGGCGATGGGAAGTGACCATTTGAAGCTGTACAGAGGGTGTTGTGGGGTCCAACTCCCTTAGAAACAAGGGAATTTGCTGGTGCACAAATGATTATCACAAAATACAAACTCGTTTCTGTGTTAACGAAAGCTGATTAATCAGGTCCCAGGAGTTAATTTTTCTTCCTTCTGTTAAAGGCTATCTGAATGACGGCGCGTGCGATGCGAAATAGGTATATAATATAGTGAACAAAAATCGTAAAAATTGATCGATTTGTTGATATTTAAGATTTATTTAACATTTGAATCGACATATATATGAATGAATTGAATCGTAAGATTTGAATCGTAAATCATAAGGATTTATGCTCGGTATTGCAAATTCTCGTAAATGTAGCGGATATTTTGGATATTGAAAGAGAGATCAACTTTGGGGTTAAATTTGCAATTTGGGTGGAGCCGATAGGAAGATGGAGTACGTATAAGGGTGATTCTGCAGTTTTCAAAACTGTTTGAGCCAGGTAGGTGGATTTTTTGAAATTACAAATTGACCTCCACTTGGGGGGCATTTCCGGTTTAAGGACCAAAATTAAAAATGGTATATAATATAGGGACAAAATGTAATTATCACAAGTTTATTATAAATAATATAATAAATTAAATTTTTTTCATAAATCGTAAATCGTAACATTTGATCGATTTGTTGACATTTAAGATTTTTTGAACTTTGAATCGACTTAGGTATGAAAGATTTGAATCGTAAGATTTGAATCGTAAGATTTGAATCGTAAATCATAAGATTTTAAACTCGGAATTGCGAATTTTCGTAAATGAGTCACACACAATTATAGCGGAGGAGTGGTAGAAGCATACTGCGTTGGTGGTGGATATTTCGGATATTTCAAGAGAGATCCGCTTGGAGTTAAATTTGCACATTGGGTGGAGCGCCTCGGAAGATAGAGTAAATAGGGTGATTCTCTAATTTTCACAACTCTCTCACTAAGGGAGACGCACTTTTAGAAATTACACATTAACCCCCCCTCGGGGCACATCTGTTTTAAGGGACACAAATATATATATATATATATATATATATATATATATATATATATATATATATATATATATATATATATATATATATATAGCATATATAGCGTAAAATTTGATTGTTTTGTTAAGATTTATTTTAACATTTGAATCACATAGATATGAATGAATTGAATCGTAAGATTTAAATC